CAGAGAACTCGCCCTCACTGATTGTCACTTCGCGCGTCCAGCTTCCTAGGCACTATTACTTATCTCTCTTGCTGGTGACGTCTCAATAAATCCTGGTCCCGTTGCACCGCCAAGTCTGTCTGTGAGAGATTTTACGCGGTTCAGAGGACTCAAGGTCTCCCATCTGAATATAAGAAGTGTTTATCCTAAACTGGACTCGTTGAAACTTTGGTTACTCAATCAGTCCTTAGATGTTTTTTACAGTGTCGGAGACATGGCTCAAACCATCGATTACAGATAACGAAATTCAGATTCATGGTTATTCTTGCGTGAGATCTGACCGACTTCACAAAACAGGCGGTGGTACTATGGCCTATGTTCCTTATCGAATTAGACCCGATCTTGGCGCCTCTTTACCTGAATCTTGTGCCATCGAAGTCTCTCGAACGAAATGCAAGAAACTGATTATCTGAACAATCTACAGAGCACCTTATTTGAATCTGGGAACTTTTTTTCAAGATTTAAAAACATTTACGTCTTCTGTGCCTGAGAAGACCGAGCTTGTTCTGCTCGGGGATTTCAACATTTTTTATGCTCTGAGATGAATAATGATAAAGCCAAGAAGCGCAAACTTCTCCAGGTGACAAATATTTATCACCTAGACCAACTAATTAGTACACGAACAAGAATAACGGAAAGATCATCAACATTGATTGACTTATTGTTTACCAATAAGTCTCATCATGTTATTGACCGAGGCGTTATTCCATCATCTCTAAGCGACCATTGTTTGATCTTCTGTGTTATCAAATCAGGTGTTCCCAAGGCTTCAGGGAGAACAATTGAATATCGGTCATACAAGCATTATTCAAAGCAGGAATTTCTGAATGACTTGAGAGATATTGACTGGGACTGAGCACTAAACAAGGATGACATTGACTTCGCAGTCGATGATTGGAACAAACTTTTCACTCACGTTGCCGATAGTCATGCTCCGATAAGAAAATCAAGAATTAAAGGGGTCCGTTCTCCTTGATGAATGTAAGGCTAACTGAAGCTATGCACAAACGAGATCATTACCATCGTGAAGCCTTGTACAGTTACCTTTTACAATACCCTAATCCTCCCTCTTTTTTATTACGGGGACGTTATATGGGGGGACAAGCACAATGACACCATAATGTCAGAATTACAGATCCTACAGAATAAAGCTGCTAAAGTTCTGCTGGGGCACCCACCCTGAAGCTCGTCAACCGAAGCACTGACGAGTTTAGATCTCAAGTCACTCTCTGCAAGAAGGTTTTTTCATCGCTGCATTGCAATCCACAAGTGTCTGATTGGGGAAACTGATTTTAACTTTAATTTTATCAAAAACCAAACTGTCCATTCATATAACACAAGACGTTCCAATGATCTTCATTTACCCCTTCCTCGAACTAACTGGGGTAAACAAAAATTTATGTATCGAGCTCCGAAAGACTGCAACAGTCTTCCAACTGATCTGAAAGAAACACATCTCTTATCTATTTTTAAATCCGAGCTGAAAACTTTTTTAAAAGATTTTGATTGATTTTAAACTTTGACATTTCGATCAGTTATCGATTCTAAGATTTTGACTCTTTTTCAATTTATTTATAAACATATTTTATTTCATCTTATTTCATTTTATTATTATTATCATTATTATTATTTTATCAATTAAGGTAATTAATTGTATTAATTAAATTAATTAGTTAATGAGGGCCCCCCTGAAAACCGCTGTGGCGAGTTGGGCTCCCTCGTTCAATATTATTATTATTATTATTATTAGAATTCTACATGCCCCAACGAGCGGTAATACGCGAGAATGCAGAATCAAACAAGTTACAAGTGGTATATGACGCCTCGTCCCATGCGTATGACGGTGTGCCATTCCTGAATGAGTGTTTACACACTGGTCCCCCATTACAGAATGAACTTTGGAATGTTATTGTCCACAACAGATTCCATCCTATTGCAGTAGCCGGGGATATGCGCAAGAGCTTCCTACAGATACGTGTCAAGGAAGCCGAACGTGACGCACTGAGATTTCACTGGATGAAAGACAAATCGACTGAAGAGCTGGAAGTGTTAAGGTTTACGAGAGTGGTGTTTGGTCTTGCTCCTTCTCGTTTCCTACTCGATGCCGTGATACAACAAAACCTGGAAAGTGTGCAATCTGAGTACCCAGGGACTGTTCAAGAAATCAAGAACAGTCTGTATGTAGATGATTTGATTACCGGAGATACTACTGTGGAAGGTGCGCAACAGCTCAAACATAATGCGGTAGAGATCTTTAATCGTGCAAAGTTCACCTTGCACAAATGGCACTCAAACGTGCCAGAACTAAAAGGCGACTACACAGATGATGAGCCTTCGTTTACTAAACAGCAGCTTGGTGCATCATCAGCTCGTGGAGAGTGCAAACTACTGGGACTCAAATGGGACAAAGGGGATGACACTTTATATGATTCATTCCCATCTTAGCCTGCTACATTGACCAAACGGGGCATCCTCGCCAACTTAGCGAAGATTTATGACCCGTTAGGATTTGTGTCGCCTGCAATGTTGGAGGGGAAACAAATCTATCGAGAGGCCAGTGAGATAAAGTTGAGCTGGGATACCCCATTTCCCGAAGAGATTGCCAAACAGTGGCTAAAATGGGAGAAGAATGCATCGGATGATGTGTACTTTCCTCACATTCTTGTTCAGTACCAGGAACCGATCGACAACATTAAATTTCTTGCATTTGGTGATGCAAGTATTCATGGTGTGTTTGCTGCTGTGTATGCTGTGGTTACACAAGCGTCAGGCGTGACACAGGGTCTGATTGCCGCCAAATCCTGCCTCGCCAAGAAAAGTCTGACGATTCCTCGTTTGGAGCTCGTGTCAGGCCAGATAACAGTCAACTTGACAACAAATGTGCGGGTTGCTCTAGAAGGCTTCAGTATGACGAAGGATATACAGTGCTGGCTCGACAGCACCGTAGCCCTACACTGGCTGAACGATGACGGGGAGTACCGCCAATTCGTAGCTAATCGGGTTAAAAAGATCCAGAGCCACCCGAACACGCAGTGGAGACATGTACCGACATCCGAAAACCCACCTGACCAGGGGAGCCGAGGCGGCAGTGTGAATGAAGCGGAGCTATGGTGGAACGATCCGCCGAGGTTGTCTGACCCATCTCAGTAACCTGCTGATATTGTGACAAAGGCGACAGATGACAGCAATGCAGAGAAGAAGGTTCAACGAGAACTTTTCGCGCTCGGTGTCGAAGCAAACAATGACTTTGACACTGTTCTCGAGAAGTTCGGCTTGCGTAAAGCCATGAGAATTTGTGCATGGATCTCGCGGTTCAATCACAATTCTTGTCACCCTTCCGAGAAGATCATAGGATCTCTCACGACCGAAGAAATTCAGCAACAAGAAAGGTCCTGGATCAAGCGAGCGCAGAGCCAAGGGGCAAAGACGGTCAAGTTTGCCCGTGACCAGGAACAATTGAATCTGCAACACCGATGGTGTATTGAGGACGCAGTCAGGGTGAGCATCCGATTTACTTACCAGATTCGAATTCTTTCACAGCGGAAATAGTGAAGCAAGCGCACGAGACAACTCTCCATGGCGGAGTCAGCATGACTTTGGCTAAAGTACGAGAAAGATTCTGGGTGCCAAGGCTTCGACGGCTTGCCAAGAAAGTAGTGAGACACTGCTTTGGCTGCATGACCCACCACCAGGTGATGTGCCGAAGTCACGTACTGAAGGGAGTACACCTTTTGATGTCATCGGGGTGGACTTAGCAGGACCAATCAAGTATGGTGGTAAGTGCAAGACAGAGGAGAAAGTCTACGTCGTACTATACTCCTGTTGTCTTACCCGCGGAATCTTCCTGAAAGTGCTACCCAGCCAAGAAACGGGCGAATTTATAAAGAGCTTTAAACGTCTGATCGCGAGGAGGGGTCGATCATCCCTTGTCTACTCAGACAAAGGTTCTACGTTCACAGTTGCGGCAAAGTGGCTGACGAAAGTGAAGGAGGATAAGAAGTTCCACTCATTCTTGAGTAATCAATCCATCACTTGGCGCTTTGATGCGAGTAGGGCGCCATGATGGGGAGGAGACTTCGAAAGACTCGTTGGCTTATTCAAGTCTTCATTCTAAAGTCTGTTGGTCAGGGTCTACTAAGCTGGTACGAGCTCTGCGAGGTAGTCCTTGACATCGAAGTGTAGCTTAACCATCGACCTCTTAGTTACGTGGAGGATGACCCGCAATTCCCTACACTAACACCTAACTCCTTACTGTTTCTGAATGCTAACATTTTACCTGAGCTCGAGCCACATCTTCTCTAAGACCGCGACTTGAGGAAACCTGCGAAATTCTTGAAAGCTACCAAAGATACAATGTGGCGTCGTTGGACCAGGGAATACCTTAGAGCTTTTGAGAGAGGGGCATCAACTTAAACATGACACCAAACCAAACAGCTTGTCCGTAGGAGATGTTGTTATCATTAAGTCTGATGAGCGAAACCGAAATCAATGGCCCATGGGGGTAGTAGAAGACTTATTTACTGGACGAGATGGTGTTGTTAGGGCAGCGAAATTAAGAGCAGGCAGAGGATTCATGGAACGCCCAATCCAACATCTCTACCCATTGGAGTTGTCGTGCGACAGAAACCCTACGCCTTGTAATGACACACCTTTGAACCGAACTGCAGTGGAGTTCCGGTCGCGACGAGATGCTGATGTGGCAGCACGTCAGCAAATACAGGACATTGTAGAGGAAGACACTTGAATGTGGTTACCAAAGAAACATTTTTATACTTATTTCTTGTTGTGTTATAGAGTCAGTTCCACTTGCATATGCATTGTTCCCAAGTCATATGGAGGAGAGTGTTGGAAACTGTAAGATACGTTAATTATTCTCAATTTGATTGACATTTATAGGGGACTTCGTTTATTTATACATGACTAAGCAAACCTGTATGCAGCACGTGTTTTATCGTACTTACAACGGGACGTTGAGTTTGTTTTCTTCTAATAAGCCGAGAGTTGTCCTAAAAGCAGTGCAATGCTTATCGTTAATAAACTTAATTAAGCCCACCACAGTCTATATCCTAGCTTACCACTGACACAATCTCATTGCTGTCTACACAGTTCCTTGGAATAAGCGATCTTCTGCAGTCACTCTCTCTCGGTATAGCTTTCTATGCAGTTGTCGCTCCAACAACAACAACTACCCTGACTACCACATAAGCGAGTCTTAATAGATATATTTATATTCACAAAATGTTCTGGAACATTCCAGAAGCTTACAGAATAAGACGACCGTGAAGCGGGAGTCTGATTTTGTTAATTACGGGTATGATGAAAACTGTAATTGTCCAACTCACCAGAAGTTCAAGCAATAGTTCCCAGGGCCCCACATCAGTACAGTGAGAATAGTAAATAAAGTACACAACTCTGTCTCCACCATCTTGAATTGGTAAAAGGGGACTGAGGGAAGAGGTCAGCAAATCTATGTCACTAGCAGGTGATACGTATACAGCCATGTGACCTGAGGCAGTTAGAAGTCAGACACTGGTGAGATATGAATACATGATAATGTAAGGAGAAATTAGATGCTGGTCACTTCAAGGGGTCAAAGGGTTCAAAGAGAGAAACCTGACCTGATTTTGAGAATTTAAATGAGTAAACTTGGTCCTGTTTCTTCCTATGTAGGTGCAGGCAAAGCCTTCTTAAACATGGGTATATCACTGAATGGCTGTATGCCAAAATAGTCCAGTGGAGTGATCCAGGCACCTGCATCTTGTTGAAACACTTCACCAGCACTATTGTAAAATGTTCTTGATGTGTGCTGCATGTAGAAAAAAAGTTGATGAGAGGTTTGACTGAAAAATCTTTTGGTTTGTGTCATCAATTGTATGGATGTATCCACTAATCAATGCTCTTACTAATAAATGGTGGTGAAAATGTACACTCCTGTATGATTTTAGAACCCTCCAAAAAATACTGACATATGCTGAAGGCTTGAATAATTAAAACGCAAGCATGCATGGTATCAGGGCTTTGCAACTTGCATTTTTAACAGAACCTGGCTAGGGAGGTTGAGACATGTTTGAAAAAAAATGGCCTCCTGTTTGAAGTTCTTTCAAGGTCAACTTTAACAAGGTTTGAAATTCTACATTTTTACAGTATAAGCAGCAAATTAACAAAAACAGTGAAAAAGATTAAATCACTGCAATTAACCCTTAATGCCTCTGAATGTCTGGTTTCTAATTTCTCCTCACAGTATCAGCCATGAATCAAAAGTTTAGGTTGTGAGAATTAAAGAGATGATCATCAATTAAAGAAGGTTCTGATCGTCAGACAAATTCTCCTTGTCTGTACTATTAATAGGAAATGCAAAGAGATCTGGTGCAAAGGGTCAAACTTCTTCTGTTGAGAAGCTCTCATCTGGATACAACTTTTGTCTGCTCATTCTGATCACCTCAGTCTGGAGACTTGTATGCTAATTAATTGTTCACATTGTCTTGTTGCCACCAACATTACAATCCTGCAGGATAAAGACACTTGTGAGAAAAAAAAAAAGAGTTGGTGTAAGTAATAAAAATTGAATGGATATCTTGGTACCTGCGAGAAAACCCTTATAGGGCACTGACTGATAGCTGAGTAAGGAAATGATAGTCCTGAGAGCGATACAAACAGAAGAAATATTTCTGGAAGCTTGAGGTTTCCCAGAACCAACAGTGCTAACCTGAAGAAAGGGAAAAAAGTAAAATTTAATATGGCATTGAGCTTATCAGAACTTTTGTGGGAGATGTGGAGGCCAAATGGTTATTGTGCTGGACTCTGAGAATAGGAGAAGGCCCGATTTAGGGAATATGGAAGGGCCTCAGTGGTGGTTGCATCCCTATCGACTGAACTGACCGCTTCGTCATAACCTTGAATATTACGCTTTACATCCAGGAATGCAGCAGAAAAAATTGTTTCGTATTTAGTGGAAACATTTCTTATTAATGCCAATAACAATTTCTGCGTAAAACGTCAGCAATCTTGAACATGAGTATGCTGCTTGTCAGCAATTGAAACCAAGCTGCGCATATTCAGCATGGAGCTCCGACAGGTGTTCTCCGGGGCTATCGATTTCGAACTGTTTTGAACCCCTCACTTGCGAGATAGAGGGTTTTCCTTCTCAGAAAATAGCACTAAAAACATGTTTGACGTGGCTTTAAGTAGTGCTGGAGCAACTATTGCCCTTGCTACATTATTTGACGAAAATCATCCACCAGAAAATATCATTGATGGGTAAGTATTTTACATTCAGTGAAGATCTTCAAAATCATTCTAAGTTTCCAACGAGCAGAGATTTCGATGAGGACAATTAAGATAATTCAAGACCACCTTCAATTTATCTGAAACCCATTGGTACTACGCTTTGTGGAATTACTTAACTGATAGACCAAGACATGATCATTCTACTATCGTGAACATTATCACGGTAGTAGTTGTCATGGTAACACTGATAGCTGGCCACGGAATGTTCATGATCTGTTTAACAATTGGTTCACACATCAGCGTGCGTTCATCGAGATATGAAGCACGCGGGAAGTTTGGAGAGCACGAAAGATGCGTAAGAGTTGCTCGAGGCGTAGCCAAACTTCCCTAGTGCTTCATATCTCGATGAACGCACAGCTGACGTATGAACCAATTGTTTTATAACATTTTCAACCCAAGGCAAAATTTTTTTCTCGAGGGATTTGTTTGCTTACGTCATGAGCGTGCACAATAGGAATATAAAGCACACTCGCACAATTGAATTTGATTAGACAAATTTACTAGCTATGTTATAATTATTCTTGAAGACTAAGATTTAAGAAAAGAAAGTTATAAGGAGTGATGCAACATTTGTTGGTGCTTGCTTTTATCTTTACCTGGTAATGCCACAGAAAAGTTGAAAATTAATTACATTAGCACCCTGCAAACTCGAACTCAGAAAATGGATTTAGTCAGGTGATAGTTAATGACAGGAAAATTGGGGTCAAATCCAGGGAAAATTGGATCTTCTTTGAGTTAGCAATAGGTTTGAGTAACTTGGTTTCAAGTTAGCAGGGTTCTACTTTATTATAGTATGTTTCAGTAATAAATAAATGAAAAACTCCAAGGCAAGGCAAGGCATGAGCATGAGCCTTCAATCAGTTTATGGCTGAAAGGCTTGTTTAGAATCAACTTAAGTACCCATCTAGAAGTCTTATGGCCAAAGTGAGAGGTCATGCAAAGAGTCTTTGTATTTCTGTGAGTCTCAAATTTTACCATCTGCAACTCCTACAGCTGCATCCTGATCAGCCAAACCAGAATTTGTTGTCTTTTATTTTGCTCCACAGAAGTCTTGATACTTTCTGCCCAACAACTGGAATGTTTCCTCAAGAATTCATCATCACTTTCAGTGCATTAATGAGCATTGGAAATATTAAATTCCTATCTTCAAATGGTGAGGATGATGGTGGATGATCTTGAAATGATGTTTAGTGTAATGTAACAGGGGCATTATCAATTCAGTGATTTTTTAGTTTTTCTTTTTTCATAACAAAAAATAATTCTATGTAAGTGAGTAGAGGGGTATGTTGCTTGCGCCAATCAGATCCCTGCATTAGGGTATGTATCTTGTCATTGCTGCATAAGGGTATGTATCTCTGTATCTCACATCAATCAGATTGCAGCACTGGGGTATGTATCTCACACCAATCATATCACAGCATTTGGATATCTTGTACCAATCATGGCTTTTTTGCAAACGATGTCTTGGAATTGGGGGGCTGTGCACAAAGCATGACGTTAACCAAAAATTCTGGGCTCATTTGATAAGTGCAATGGTTTGTGGCCTTTGTTAGATCCTCATTGGAAGGTAGAGATTTCTTGGGATATGAAAGGTTTCCATTTAACTTTTTGCATCATTTTTAAGTTAAAACATGTTTTTCCACTCCTTTACTTATAATGCACTTGCCAAACACATACCATGAAAACAATGTCCAAAGTCCAATCTGAACATGCTCGATCATTGCACTACATGAACATTAGGCAATGTTTCATGTGCTTGAATTGTACTCCACCAATCAAATTCCATTTTGCCAGACAAGACTTTGCTCCATCACATGTCATTTCCTTGTAAACAACCTGCATGTTATTGCATATTGTAACCACATTGTCTAACCCCACTGAAAAAATTCACATGGAACAAAATGCTCCTGATAGTGAATTTTCTATACAACTCTCCTGTATTTTTACTTTTTCTTAAAAAAAAACTCTGCTTTAAGCTACCTTGGACTTAACCCAAGTGCATGTTAATTCTTTGTTAACAACCTGCATTTTATCATGCATTCCACGCACAGAGGGCAAAGTCCAGTAAGGCAACAACAAATCAAGGAGCCCCCCTTTGAAATGTTATCCTTTTTTCTTGGTCAATGTATCTTCAATCATTTCAGATCAAAATATATCTTTGGTTGGGATATATTGGAGATACAACAGAGTTTTAGTTTGCTTTTCACAGAAAACTTATGTAGAATTATATTTTTGAGGTAACAGACTGCAAACGAATAATTTCGATTTTCTCTCTGATAAAGGAACAGCAGGAAGCATAGTCCCTTTTGCAACTGTTATTTGGTCTTGTCATGCAAACTGCTCTCTCTTCAATGAGAAATAGATGGTGTTGTGTAACAACACCAAACAATGGGTGTGAAGGAGACAGCAATAAATGTGGCACCACTGCATTCTATTTTTGTCTCGAAGCATTTAGACCATGGAAACAATAGACCAAAAACTACTTGTGTGAGTTCAGGTAAATTTTTTTCTTTCTCTTATGGTGAAGTTATGCAATATTTTATTTCTTTTGAAAGTTATGTTCTTTTCCTGTTATAAAAATGAAAACATTAGCTACACAAAGTATCCCATGTCAACCTACCCCACCAAAAAAATAACTCTTGCATGCTATGTATGCCTATGTATTATTACAGGAGCTGCATCACTGTTTTTGTGCCACATTGTGAAAACTTTAAATATATATTTTTTTAATGTCAGTGATGTAAAAAATTGAGAAAAGTCTTTGTGAGGAGTCAGGTGTGAGTTACCAGCTCCTAAGAAACCAGGAGCTTCAAGGTTTTGTAGCATATGTGAATTTTTATTTGCAGTTAAAAGCCTCTGCATTGAGAAAAGCACAAAAACGTAACCAGTAGACTTTAAACCTCTTGTGGACAACGGTAAAAGAAGCCATAGATATGTTATAGAAAATGTTGCTGTTCATCCTGGTTACTTAAAGGTAAATGGATATTTAATTGTTTGTCTCGCGATGTAAAGTAAGGCCACCATGATTTATTATACAGTTGACAGTCTGACTTTACTTCTTGAGACAATACACATCTAGTATAAAGCTACAGTTAGGTTATTGCATAGCCCTTGGGGCTCTTCCGCCTTAAAAAAATTTAAAATATAGTCAGGACCTTTCACAGGAAAAAGATTAAAAATTTAATCAGGAAAAAATGACCAACATGATAACAAAATAATTAAAAAAAGTTTAAACAAGTTGACATTCAGTCAAATAATCCTCTGACTTTGATCACTGACAGCACAGTACAGTACACATTGACGTGGCCCAGGCCTGACTGATTGTTGGGTGTGGTTGATTGTACAGTTTAAGACTGACAAATTCAATGAAACATACTTGCAATTTATTAATAATGTGTAATTGTTATCTGTGGCAGAGTATGAACATTTAGAGGGCCGGATGCAGAGAGATGAGATCAAGGTAAGTATCTGGAATTCAGGAAATTGCTTCATTGGTGATTCAGATCTAAAATATGTGTCTGACATTCAGAACCATGTGTTTGTTCTGATGGAAAGACTTGCACTTTCAGTTGAAGTTCCCCATGCCACCCAGGTAAGGTTTAAATGGCCCCCCCTCCTGTATGGATGACAGTCAAATGCCCATGGATTCCTCAAGGGGGGGGGGGAGTTGTTGAAACTTAGAATTGATCAGTGTGTAAAAATACAAATATTCAGTCCAAATGGTGAATGTAGGGCTGTTACATTTTAGTATTATTTGTATGTTTTTTCCTTTGTAGATTCCTGTTACATCAGCATGTCATCTGAGATTTCTTATCAAAAGTGGACTTGATCATTTTGTTTCCATTCATAATGTCAGTGTTGATGGCACAGCTGTGCACTGAACTTCAGTCTCTACATTCAAACAAGCTGTGTATATAAGGAAATACTTGTGCATAAATGAAGTAAATAATTATAGTAATCTGTTGGCAGAAGGGTGTTGACTTAGGGTTACAGTTCTATATGGATATACTGTAAAACCTAGTGGTGGTTGTCACTTTCCATTGGGAAAACTTGGTTTAACACTAGGTATTGAGTGTATGTCCCCTCTGAAACCCCCTCCCCCCCACCTCCTTCACAAAAGTTTCTTCAGTCTTTGATTATTGTCACCGACAAGTTTTTGTATAAAATATTTTCCCCATGTGTTTAGACATGATTAAGTGAAGACGACGATGAAGTTAGACGATATTACTGTGACCTTCATCCTGACGAATCCTTACTGCAATTTAGATATTTAAAAACAGAACAGAACAGAAAAAAGAGGCGGAAAAAGAAAGCGAAATAATAAACCCTTTTTCGTGGACAACATAGTTGTAATAATTTTGTCCACTGCAGGGAAAAGAGAATACTTTTGTTTATTTATTTAATAATTAAGGACAATCACAATTATTGAAGTGAAGGTTGAAGCAAACAGAACTGTCACTATGGAAAACAGACCATTAACAGTCCCAAAGCAATGGGCCAAACTCTGGAAGTCAGTTATTTTCTGCTCATCAAAGGAGTTGGTTAAAAGTTCCACACTTTACCATGAATGTAACAGCAAGTGTATTCGTCGTTCTAAAAGCACCGCGTGAAGTGCATTCCTCGTTCTAAAAGCTCCGCGCGAAGGGCACAGTCAACAAGAGTATTCCTCGTTCCACAAAAAAACACACTTTGCGATGTGCTT